TGGTTGTTGGACTCCAGATGATGTGTCTTATGGCTTGGCAGAAAGTTTGTCTGCATTTTGCTCATGTCCAGAGACTTTGCCTGAGACTGAGATTAAGGGCGGCAGCGGACTGATTAACCTGGCAAAAGAAATTTCAAGGCAGTCGAACTTTGGGGCAGTGGCATGGCTATTGTTGGGGGCTTTTAGCCAGATTTATATTGAGAATCAAGAACAAAAGGCCCAGCACGATGATTTAAAATGTGAGTTTGGCCAGGAAGGAAGCTCCAGTAAAGCTGTGGATTGCAAAGGTGGAGCTGAGGAGATCTCCATTGTTGAGAAGGAACAAGAGAATAGAAAAGATGGCCTGAGGGCATCACAAGAAGCAGCAAGTCTCCACCCTTTGCAGCCTCAAAACTGCAAAGGTGACAGACCTTGCCTTGAGAAGAAAGCTGCTGAGTGCAATGTTCCAGAATGGTGGCGGTGGCTGCACCAGGTTCCAGAATGGTGGGGGCAGCCACACCAGGTTCCAGAATGGCGGCAGCATAGAAAATTTGTTCCTCAGAATTGGATTCAGAGTGCCCAGCAATTCAGGCACTTGGCCCCTGTGGCCAAGAGAGAGGAAAACTTGGCTACTGCTCCAGGTGGCAGCAGACCTTGGCATCATCCCCATGGCCTTGGCTTTAGGTGCATGATGAATGCACGAGTTCTGAGGTTAAAGAGGCTTCCACCCAGATTTCAGAAGGCCTGGGAGGCCAGGCAGTGTGCCCCTGAGAGGGCAATGTATGAGGCTGTGAGTATGAAGCAAAAGGTACACTGGAGACCTCAGAAGTTTAGAAAAGCCAGGACTGTGGATCATCTAAGGAAAGCTGCAAGGAGGGAGCAAAGCGGGCCTAAGAGAGAAGTCATGGAAGCTGTAACCACCAGAAGTGCCATAGAGGTGGACTCACACAAGCCCTTTGGAGCTTACAATGTGCCACAGATTGCTTCAGATGCTGGTCATGGAACTACAGGATATAATGTTAACCCTGCTGGATTTTGGAATTGCTTTGGTCCCAGTGCTCTGTGTCCCCCTGTACCTTTTGGAATGGTACTGCTTATTTTGTGCCATTAAATGTTGGAAGTGTTTAACTTTTCATTTGTACAGGGGCTCACAGCTAAGAGTTTGCCTTACATCTTGGAGGAGACTTGGGGCTTGGATCTGAAACTGTGAGGACTTTGGTAACCTGTGCTGAAACTGTGAGGACTTTGGCAACTCTTGCAGATGGACTAAATGTTGTTTGTATAAAGGGATGGACATGAGTCTTTGGGGGGCCAGGGATGGAATATTATGGTTTCTGTTGTGTGTCCCCCCAAAGCCTCATGGGGTCATGGGACAAGCTTTTAGAGTTTGATTGATTATGGGTGTGAGAGCTACACCCACCCTGGGGTGGAGAGTTTGCATATGTAAGGGAGAGGAAGAGACTGCTTGAGGCCATTCCATGCTGGTGTGTGCTTGTTGCTTTTGCTGTTTTCTGCCACCATGAGCTGTAGCCCTCTGCCATGTGCCACTCTGCCTTGTAATCTGCCAAGTATGGACTGAAACCTCCACAAACTGTAAGCAAAATAAACCTTTCCTTTCTTAATTTTGGGCATCAGGTATTTTGCCCCAGCAATGAGAGAAAAGTAACCAAGACAGCTCCCAAGCATAAATTGTAGTTCTTGTATTTTTAAACAATCAGAATATAAAATTCTATGAGTCATAGCAAACTAACTGAAGAGATTCAAATTCAAGACTATGTGAATTCCTTTGAAAAGTATCAAAAACCATCTCTGATAAAATGTACATACTAAGAAAAAAATGCCGATCTTACCTTTTAACTTATGTAATTTTATTAAATCATTTATAATATACAGCAATCAGATTGTCAAAAATCACTTTAATAACTTTTGGGTGGCTACCTATGTTTTTATTTTAAAGAAAATAGTACAAAAAAGAACAATAGCAAAATACAAACAAAACAATACAAGGATATTAAAAATGATATGGGGTTTCAAATCAAATGATAGGGATTAACAATGATTGTTATATTACATATTGTTATCATCAATAAAGTTGCTCAGGTTACCAGATGTAAGAATAGAAGATTGATTAAATTATTAAAGGAAATAAGAAAATAATAATTTAAAAGAACATTAGAGACAATACATAGTCTCATTAGACAGAACCATAGGAATTCACAAATGGTTGCTATACTGCAAATTGTTGTCACATAAGTTGCTCAGATTACCAGATATAAGCATGCAAAATTGGTCAAAATATAAAGAAAAACTTTTAAAAAAACTTTTAATCATTAACTGTTCCCCTCAACAAACCATCAGACACCAACAGTACAGTTATGCCACCAATCCATATATATATATATATATAAAGCCTTAGTACTTTCTTTTTCTTTATCTCATATTCTAATTCCAGAATGAACATTTTACTATCTCCTATATCCAAAATATTTATTGAGATCTATTATGTTAAAAGCATATTTCATCCTAACATTCTTAAATCTCCTACTTATAATTCTAGTTTGTGATGTGATCAGTTTTCCTGTCCAGAAGCTCAAAGTCAGTCCGTGCTGTCAGATTTCTGTTCTTAAAGTGGGCTATCAGCCTTGTTATAGCTGCTTCAGAGTTAATGAAAGAAAGGAAACTGAAAAGATTTGAAATGACAGTGGAAAATATGTTACCCTTTCTCTCCAACGCTACACTTTCAGTTGATGTATATAAGGAACATCGTACTACACGTTTTTTGAACCAAGAGCACAAATAGCTCAAAAACTGCTTCAAGGGACACTCTGTTCTCAGCACGACTGCAGCTTCCAAATAACACCCTCTGGAGACGACACATGCTTACCTGCTCCTACCACTTGGCCCAAGTGATTGGCCCAAGTATAGATTCTTCAATCCTGCTGGGCCAGCTCTTCTTGGGTATTTGGGGACTGAAATTAAAATACAAGTCAGCCTTTTGTATTGGTGAAATGAACAATTGTTGGCTCTTATTCAACTCTTTTGGTGTAGTAAACTAGAAGTGCTGGTGGCATACAGAACATTAAAGACAAGATAGTTACATTTTAGGTGGCATTAGTCTCTAGTCACAGCTGCTTGTGAGAATGAGTTGCTTCTATAAACTCAGTTGTGCAATTTTGAAAGAAATTTCAAATTTCAAATTTCAAATTTCAAATTTCTGCTAGGTTTTGAAAGAAAATTTTGAGATTGATTATGGATCAGTTTACAACACAAAGAACCACTAATATTAGAATTATTGTACTAAAGAACATTCTTTCAGCTGAGAGTCCTAACCACTGGTTTGGCCAGTGGTTCCATTTTCCTGTTGTAAAAGACTGGAGATAATCAAAGGTAAGGCTGTTGACGCTTCCAGCTTGATAATTGCAAAGACAGGGAACCTCTCAGGTCTCACTCCAAGTACACCAGGATTTTCTGTCCCCCGATGACACATATATATCCAGGTCTTCACCCTAGTGGGAGATAGGTGCTCATGTGTGGGCCCCATCCCCTTCCTCAGCCTCTATCAGTCCATTCTGAAGATCTTCCAATGTAGATTACAGAGCAGAACAGGAACTGGGAGATCAACCACTTCAATCCATTTTTATGGACAAGCAAAAGGCTCTAGTCTAGGGACTTGCCCAGGATCACATAGTGACCCCAAGTCTGAAAATTAGCTCTCTTTCCTTGGGAGATGTCTGTCAAATGGGAGGCTTTAAACACCTCCTAGAGGC